AAGTCACCAATTTCCTATGCTATAATACCTTCCGCTATGTACCACTATAGATGATCTCCTGTGTGCTAGGGCATTAAGTAAACACATTGTCGCCCTCTAAGCCCACAGTGTGAGCGAATAAATTACACATTGCAAGATAATTTGGGCGCCGATATCGCATGATTGCAGCTTTACAAAGCTCGAAAAAACAGCATGGTTTGTCTTGTTTCGCCGATGGTTCGTTTAGCCTGCTGATGATGCGATCATATGTTGCGTTCATTTTAACTATCATGGAATAGCGTTCGCCCTAAATTAACCGGTGCCATAAACAAACAATGATTTTTCTTTTCGATTTAATGTGGTGAACCCAGTCAAGCCCCAACGAGTAGTTGGCGTATGCACCATCCGGCTGATATTTTATAACCTTTCGACGTGTTATTATAGGTACAATATTACCCGGGAATAGTTCGACGCGATACCTGCCGTATATCCTATTTGCTGCTTGGTAACGTTCAATATACGAATGACGGCCAATGTTATTGAGATAAAAAAAAATAGGTATTATACGTGTGATGATGCTTTGTGACACAATCCGTGAATGGCACAACTTAGGTGATAGTCAGCAAAGTTAGATCAAGTTCTTGGGAGTACGCAATTCCATCATCTCGAAGTTTTTTCATGTTTGGCCAAAAGGGTCGAACCATTTAAGAAGCTGGTCTGAATCTAAAGACGCTTTGACGGCATAGCGAAGTATTCGATTGCGTAGATAAGAAAAATTGCACCCGCATACTCTAACTAGAGACACAACTACAGTAATTTCTACTGCTGCATAGATTTTTCTAAATTCTAAAACGAAAAACACCTCGTGTTATCACTCAACTCCTGTGCCCTGAAAATGGGTAAACGACTCATGAGAAAAAAAAAACGGCTTTGATATGCCCAAAACATTGACTGCAGCTACATTAGGCCGTAGGCCCTCTTCTTTTAGCTGTAAGTATTATTACATATTGTGCTTGTTAATAAAATTTAAAAAAATATTACCTGTTTTTTCTTACCTAAGCATTACAACAGTACGGTTCAATTGAAAGCTGCAAATTATCTATCATCTATATTCATTTATGAGCCTAATATGGTCTTTATGTATATTAGATGAAGTTAAATGTAATAGCCTTTCAAAAGAATGGCATTGTAGTCAAATGCTGAAAGAAACATATGTTCTGTTGACTGTAACACTTAATCGAACACGGACCACAGTAGAACACTGCCTGTGATAGGTTTGTATGCTAAGTTTAACTTTCCCTCGATTATGTTTGTGTGTATTTACTGTGAGCCGAAGCCTCGAAACAGGACACTAAAATTTCCGCACGTTCGGGTCTAAATAAAAAGTGTCCTAGTTCACAAGGTTTAAAAAATTACTATCAATTTACCAGATTTCAGAGCAACGACAGTTGTCTGTCGCCATATATGGCGTGCTTCCTAACACGTAAATAAGCTGGATAAATTTAAAAAGTTTTCTTCAAGAGGCTGGGGAAAGGCAGAATCTTTAATACTGCACATGCTATAAAAAAAAAAACAAATACTTTAAGTTTAATGTGCATTTGTGAAACAGCATTTGTAACAGATTTGTAAATTCAAAAAGAACTAAACCAGTTTGCGTCTCGTGCGTCCGCGGTGTCCCTTGAGTAGTTTGCGGCCGGTGGATGTGATGGCTTCAACGAAAAAACGTTTTCATGACTTGGACATGACGATTCAGGCCAGTTCGTTTAGAAAGGCACGTCCACAGCAACACAGATACTCCTAACTCTTGCAGAGGAGGAATAGGACAATACTCACTTCATCTGTCGTTAGTTCAGTCGAATGGAAAATACGTACTCTTTTTATGATGTCCACAACGTAATTACCAAGAACTTTACATTCGTTTGTTGCAGACAAAGTAACCTGCCAAGCGAATCAGCGAAAACTGCGTAGAGAGTTTTCCCGGAGAAAATTGTATTGCCATCTACCTATTTGTTCTAGACATATTAGAAAACGTTTCGTTAGACGATCTTCATTTATGGAAATACGCGGCGCCAAATTTGGAACACGATGTTTATATTGCTGTAACAGTGGAAGCTGGGTTTCGACGTAAGACGTTGATCTCCTACCAACTACAGGCTTGGGATTCATAGAGATATTGTGGGCATCATCTAGAAATGATGCCTGCCAAAAGCTGGGCGACTCCTATCTCTACAATTGAGATTTGGCTTGCAAGCTCGTGAAGCCTCATGGAGCAAAAGTGCACAATGGCTACACATCTCTAGGTTACTACATTGGGTTGGAGCAGCTCTCTAGGGAAACTCTACGTTAGTCTTATTCTCGGCTGATATTAAGGTGCAAGGTTCCCTTCTCAAAGCCAATCTGTGAGTGTCTCTAGTGGCTGAGCGAGGTCGGGAGTGATGCACTCAATTTTATGTCTGAGTTGACACAGGATTTAGCTATTTACAGATTCGGTCGGTGTAGCCTCCGTAATCAGCTATGGAATATAATGGACGGCCGACAAACTGTCATAAAAAAAAGATCGCCCTGATGCATTAGCGCTAAGTTACTCTTCCCAAGGGTCTGTGGATTTCGCACCGCGTTAGATGTCGAGCCTGGCATGAATTATTAGACGTCCTGCTCAGCGATTTTCTAATGGATTGTGAACAATTAGTTTTTGAAGCGGAACGACTTGTAAGCCGCTGACCAAGTCTTCACACGCTGATCCTCTTTAAATCGGCATTATATTATGGAACATTGCCATTTTTATTGCACCAAATGAGCGTCAAAAATGCTGTGTAGAAAAAGTAGAATTTTTTATGCAACGTATCAAAGCTTAAATTTTAAGTTAATAGTCAACTTAAATCACACACGAAGAGCACCAATGATATCTCGTCCACAGTTAAACATTAAAAAAAAGTCTTTACTCGTCGTGCATAGTAAACATTATAAGCTCGTAAAATTGCATCAAATCCTACACGTAAAGAGATTTCAAACAAAGTTCGGTTACTTCTCTAACTAATAGGAACTCAGTGATCTGGTAACATGCAATACGACAGTTTTAATTCACACACATTTTGTGCCTGCATGCCCCGAAGATACCCCGGAACCCGGCCGGTCAGCCAGCCGGCCAGTCTCCGACCGTAGCTCAGTTTTCGCTTACTGGTGACACGGCTCTATGCAAAAGGCTTATCATTTTTATAAGATTATGAAAATTTTTAGTATACTGAACCAACCAATATAGAAAAATTATGGACTCTTTACAAAACTGCTCAATTTTTTTTTCGATACCGAGTCACAGCGGTCTGAAAGCGGGTTTTAGCTGTTACCATTGCATACACATCTATAATATACGTGACTTGTGATACAGACGGGACTAAATTGACAGCTGTTATAATATTTATCTGAAGCAAATAGCTGGGTTTCGACCATTCGTAAAATAAAATAAATATTTAAAAGGCTCTATTTTATTATAGCGACTGTCTGGGCTGACTAGACACGCTGTGCTGTAGGTTTAAGCTCAGCCATAGATGTTTCATGCTGGGAGTCAGCCGTCTGGACATAGAGTTGTGTATAAGTAGGTCGCTTTCATAACCGCGCATGATCGGGATACAGGGCAAGTACCCTGCAGCACGTTACTTAGGATAGTTGATTCGTTTTGTTAGTAAATTATTATTATGTATATATATATATATATATATATATATATAATTGTAGCTTAAATTCGATAATCGGTAACGGGAGGAGATACAAGTAGCTTTTTGTCATTGTCGAAGCGAAATTTCTGGAATGATTAAGTCTCTCGTATATTATTTGTTACGTGTACCAGCATAATCAGAGGGATACCAATTATCAGCAACGTGCATATCAATGATTTTAGATATATTGTACTAGGTTCCTGCTGTTACTGGCCTTTCTAATGACGCAAGAGGCTATAGGCAGGTATTACATTGCAGCCTGTGAACAAACGGCTTTTAGCAAACACAATGAGTGCTGGTATGATTACTTGCGTCGTACTTGCAGAACAACCTCAATTCAGGGACGTGTGCCACAATAGGTGTCTAACCAATTTCGTGTATATATAAAAAAAGCCTATGGAAATATCTGCCCTGAGAGGTACAGGACATGATGCCGCTACTTCACTCGAGAACGGGAAAGGCGATAGCAGGACCCGGCTATCGGCGATTATTTCCGACGTCGTTCTCTAATTGCTTTATCGGCTACAAATCCTCCTCTTGCTGGTTGCTAATGATCACCATTGTTATCGGTTTTGAGCCCCGCCTCGAGTGCGTGACTGCGTTCCCTATGGTTGCCTAGGCCTGCCCCCTCGCCTCACTCGTTCAGTTGCAAGAGCATTTAGAATCTCGAGTAGCATGGAGCAATGAAAGGCCTGCTTTAAGGTAGTCGGCGTCCACGCTGCTTAGGCTAAGCATTTGTAAATTGAGCATAATTGCAATCGTATACTTTAGTCACCAATTGAAGCTGATTGTTACATATGATGGGTGGATAATTGAACGCATCGTCGTCTGCTTCGATTTGTATCTACCTAGTCATATCGTTTGGTACCAGTCCAGCTAAAGGTAGTGTTACATCGTGATTTGCTGACTTGCCGCTAATTGGACATGCTGATACTTTCAATAAAAAAAAAAAAAAAACTACCTGTGTGTACGTTTGGCAGGCATTACAGTTCCCTGGTTCCGACAAAAGCTGTTGTGTCTAAGGGCCAAAAGTCCTAACCGGGCAAAGCTTTCTTTATACTTTCCATCCGGCCACTGATTTGCCCATCTACCGGCGGTGCTATCGAAATGGTGTGTACTCCTTTAGTCTCTGAGCCCCTTGAATCAAAGAAGCTTACTGGCGCTCACACAGGGTGTTGAGGAGTGGCAAGGGCCATTTGCAGACCCTCGCCACGATGATCGGCGCCTGGGCGAATGGGCGGGCGGGCGGGCGTTCGTTTGCATCGGTGGCAGAGGGGCGCGAATCATGCGCGACAGCATGCTGTTTGTTACTGCCAACACCGTCGCCTTCGTCTCTCAGACGATTACGAAGCGGCTGCAGAAGCAGTGGTTTTCTCGTGCGGCGTGAGGCGCGGCTGCGCGCCAATCATCGTGGCCTGCTGTCATCGAGTCGTAGTGACGTGTGCTTTTGGTGCTCGAAGCCTGGCGCCTGTCACCGCCTGCCAACGCAACGATGTCGTTGCCGGCCAATGCAACGATAGCTGCAGTTGTCAACGACAGCGGCAGAGATGGTAGCGCCGCCGCCGCCGCCGCCGCCGCCGCCGACGCCGCCACCACAGCATCGACCGTGGCCACGACGCTCATCGGTAGTGAAGCCGATGGCGAACAAGTGAAGCAAGCCGTTTACGATTTTGCTGTGCCGCTTCTCGTGCTCGCGTGCGTTATATCGACAGTGTTCAATCTACTTGTGCTCGTATCGCTGCGCTGGCTACGGCGCGCAATCAATCCAACGTTGAGTTTGAGTCTAAGTTTGACTTTTGCGGATGCTTACGCCTCGTTCATGCTCGGACTGGGTTTCGTCGTGAACAGTTATTTACCATTGAAGAATCTCGGCATAGGCCAATGTTTCAACCTTGTGCTCGAAGCGCTACGCCTCAGCGGCTTAGTTGCCGCCGCATTGAACCTGCTTGCCTTGTCATTTAACCACTATCTAGGAATACTTCGACCGCTACATTATGCGTCGACGGTGACGCGACGTAGCGCCTACATCGGAATAATTCTATTATGGGCTGTGCCTCTAATGCTGTTCTTTACGTATTTTTCGAGTGTTCCAGGTCAGGGTTTTCAGTCGACAGAGTGCCAGGTTATCGCATTCTTGCGCCAATCACGATTTTCTGCTCTACTTGGCATGATATTCACCGTGCCGCTCATTGTAATGATGCTCATTTACATGCATATATTCTTCATTATTCGACAGCACAAAATCGGGTTGTTCGGACAGGGTGCCGTTACCACGATGACCACTGCCCAAGGCCGGCATGTCGTCTGCAAAAAGACGTCGTCAAATTCGTCAGTAACAACGAGTCTAACCTCCGCAACCTGCACGCAGGCCAGCCGTCGCCTGCAGAACGTGAAGGCGGTGTATACTACATTACTGATAATCGGCACTTACCTCATTGGTTGGATGCCTGCCGTCTTCTTTTACGTGTTTACCTGCACCGACAGCTGCCCGTTCCCCATAACAGAGATTTCATATCGGACACGCATCTCTGTTGGCATTCTCGTTAACGCGCTTATTGTACTCAAGTCGCTTGTGGATCCATTCATTTATGCCGCTCGTATGCCTGAAGTTAGTGAAGCGCTCTATCGGATGTTCCGCTGCCGACCGCGAACGAGCTTCCGACACGTGCGCGGGCCTAGCTACAATCGGCACGGCAGTAATCACCTCAACAACTATAATTTTAATCACTCAGCCCCATACTGCCCCAAATCGCCTCCTGGCATTCTAGTTCGAGGTGGGAGTCAGCAAGCCGACTGCACACTGACCGGCTCACGAACCGTGTACGTCGATCGTCCAGAGGGAAACCTGCCCGGCTCTCAAAGGGTGGCCAACTCATTGCCCCGTGAGGACCAGTCGCCTTCCGCCTCTGCTTCAGTTAACAATGGCCTCAACAACAACGGATCCATTTCGCGGCGTCAGCTGCATGCCGCGGCGGCTACGACAGCAACTGCTGTTACTGTAACAGCATCCGTGACAGCAGCAAACCCTCATAAATCTTCTTCTCCTGTTGCTGCCCACACGGCCACCGATAACGTGACAACAATTGCCGACGACACGAATCGCTGCGAAAGCAAAAACTGTGTTGTTGTTGTTGCACCCATTACAGCTACCGCTTCTGCCAACGTTAATGATGCTACGAGCGATAGCTCGCTATGTAAAAACAACACAAACTCTCAAAATAATGTTACTTATGATGACGACAATGGTAATAATAAGAGCAATTGTTATCTGAATGACAGCGACGCAATTAACAGAGGCCTAGAAAACCCAAACAAATGTCGGTGGTTCCGCAATAGTTGTGAACAGCTGGAGGATCACCATGACGGCTCTTGTCATCAGCATCGTCTCGCGTACAACGCTTTCTGAGATTCGCCAGGACGGCGGGAGCAACAACTGCAGCGGCTGGATTTCAGCATCTGCATCAACAGAAACAGGAGGAGGAGCAGCAGCAGCAGCAAACACGCTGCTATCGACATCGGTAGGACGTTGCAATCAACGACCGCTGTTGGGCGGTAGCTATTACCCCTGCGGCGGTGAGCAGCACCAGCCCAAATGGCTCGTAATGGTAGTTGCCCACACGCCCGTGTTTGCAGTTAAGATTAAATTATAACGACACCCAATTGCGATTGCGGCCACCTGACTCATGCGTCGCTTTCGAAGTCTGTTAGGACGCTCGTGGCCTAAAAAGGCCCAAGAAATCTTTGCCTCGAAGGATACACATCGATTATGATAATAGCCACCCAAGAGGGATGTAAATAATAACAGTAATAGTGTGATTCGCGTATGACGACCGTACGCCAACTTCCAGCATCTGTCCGCCGTCAACGGTCTGATCATGCTCTGCGTTTGTTGTTAGTCCGAACTAAGATATTCATAAAGACGTAAGAAGCTTCTGCGTAAGGTAGCAGGAGAACTTATCAGGTTTACCACAAGGCTCTTTGGCTTGTTAATGGATACACACTGTATCTTTGGGTACGGAGATTATGATGGTGGACCTCGAAGTGGAATCTCTATAGCAGACAGAGAGAAGAAAAGAAACAGACATCGTACGCCGATAGTGTTTGGGAGGCTCGTTACGCGGATATACTGATATTTATATGATGTAATGGCGGTCCCAGCCAGCACCGTAGCGCTACTTATAGACTCTGCTGATTGTATAATAGCATGTATATAAACGAACGATTCGTAATTAGAATAAAATACATTTTATGAGGAAAAAAATATGGTAAAACTCGACAGGTGGATAGATTATAAGAGGTTAATCAAGGTTCAGGTTCATCAAATAGCGTGGCAAACTCTTCAGCCCGACGAATCACTGAAAATATAGTGACACAGCGTTAACGCTTGCCAGAACTTAGAAACAAAGAACAAATTCTGGGCGAACATAACGCATTATTATCTAAAGTTCATGATATCCAAATTCACTGGACCAAAGGATAAACAAGTCGGTGGTAGAAGGGTCTCCGCGTGTTGATGACGACCTTGAGAATGACTTTGTACGACAAAGTTATCAACGAAAAACATCTTGAAGAGGAATGCTTCGCCTTTTCACTACTTCGTTTTTATTTTGCTTCGTTTGAATATAGGAAAATATCTTTATGGAGAAACCCATATAGCTTTTGTGAATCAAAGCCAAGACAGTAAAATGTACCGTTTGCACAAAATTGAACTTGTCTATGACAACGTTACCGGAAGCTAACCTACTGAGTAGGCGCATAGGAGCCCTATGAGGCCATACATATCGCTTAAAATTAGCAGAAATAGAGCACAACTCCCACTAAATTTCCCGGCTTTACTAAATAAAATAAACCAGACAGCAATTTGCGGTCCCAACAAAACAATCCATTGAGTCACTATTGCCATTGAACATCTATCAAGCACATTTTTCGATAATATGTAAAACCCAAACAAAAGCACAGACAAAAGGTCCATTTCAGTGAAAGAGGCTCGACATTACTCTGACCACTTGCCAGCGCTGAGTAAAGAGCCACCCTTTGTGGGCTTTTGACCAATGAAATTCGTGTATAGCCTCTGTCTATGACGAGTCTATAGTGTCTCAGGCCATGTTACCTGTGATTACACGGCAGTGTGACACACGCAAGCGCACAAGGCTTCCTCACTTGAGTCGGCCCATCTAAATAGTGTGCTAGCGATGATCTTTTGCTTTATAAAGGGATTACTTTCCCAGTTCATAAAACGCTCGAAGGCTCTTGACATTGAAGGAACTCAAATTCCTCTATTTTTCTCCTAAGAAGATATTCGTTCTTCATTTTATGCTAGACACTAAGGCACAATAGAGCGATTGAACATAACCCTGCCATTATTCGATATTGTTTTAATATATATGATTTTAATAATATAATAACATGATTTTTTTTTTGTAGAATTAAGTGTTACTATTATTATTCAGGCGGCCGAGTGTATCAGGTCTTCATGTTTGCTTTCCTTTATATATTCCTTAAATCGACTGTAGTTTTGATTAGTTTCAGCCACGAGTATCCTATTCAATATTGCTAGAATGCTTACCAATCCTTTCTTTTATTCTATAAGGTGCGAACTAAAAATCAAGCTAAAACAGCGGCCGACGTAGAACGTCTGGAATGACACCTAGTAGGTACTCCGTCTACAATATCCCTAGATAACGAACTCCTAGGTGATTAGCGCTTCCTTTTAATTACCAATTGCTTCCTGCTCTTTATGCGCACTGTCCTGCCAACGATATGTTATTGCACACGGTCAGTATAAACAACAAAAAATATATGTTTTTGTACATATATATGTAATAATTTTCCACATTATTATTATAGTGTAAATAGTTCTATATTAAACGTATATAAAGACGTACTCGACTATAGCATTACTCTGCCGCAGTTTGCCGATAAGATAAAACGTTTCGTAGAAAAACTTCCGGCCTTACGTCGCCGTCAGTAGCCACCGAATGAGTGTCAGCTTTTTGTTACTTTCTTTGATGTTGATTGCTGGATAAGATGTTGGCAGGGTTCCTTCTACATAACGGATTTCATGCGCTGAAAACTTTCGAGATACACTCGTTACACAGGTAAATGCGATTCGTCTTTCCAACTCCAATAGAAAAGACCTCGAACCTTTTAGCGCTGACTGCAAGCTAAAACAGGCCGAAGAGAAAGCTGCTCTAGCATAACCACACTCAAGTGAATTTCCTTAAAACAAATCTCATTCTTTTAGTACATTTACATTCTAGTTACCGCATATCATTCTCGCGATAGGTGTTGATATTATAGATAGATAGATAGATAGATGTCCAAGCCCGCTGTCACTGTATCAAAAAGCACAAGATATACGCGCAGTTAAAAAAAAAACAGTGTTTACGACGACGACGACGTCGTCTGCTAAACAGTGAAGTGTCGAGAGCTTTGTCGCACCCGATGTTCGCAGTCGAGATATTTACAGTTTACCGTTGTAATGACAATAATATAAGTGTATCTGTAGCGCTAGTGCATCGTAATAACATCTTAATGCTTAGGTAACATGTGGCTCTGGCTAACATTAAAGAGGTCACTTTCCACCACTGCGCCCGCGTGATTGAAACCTTTGGAAATGGCAAGAGTGAGAAAAATGTTCGGGTTTTTCTATCTGTGTCATCCTGACTTTGCTTAAGAACTGTACTAATCATTGTTACTCACAACGCATCAAATTATATGAACGCATGAGTTGCTAGCTAAGCGATGCGAGAATGTACATAATGTATATGTGATAGCAAAGGATGTACTGACTGCCCTACCATAGTACTTCCATTAATCGATTCCTTTTTTTTGTTATTAGCTCGAACAAAGAACATTGCTGGGGAGAGACTTATGCTTGAAAGAGTCATTCGCTATCCAGGGATTTGCGCTCGCCGTAGCTAATAAGATGAATGTAGTTAATGCCTACATAAAGAAACAGTAGTTCAGGCATATCAAGTAAATAGGAGGTGCGGCACTTGTGCAAGGCTAAAGGAAGATTCGAGCCGAACTTAGCTATGTGTATGTTAGAGGGCCTACTGCTTGAAAGGGGTGCTCGCCGGGACCTTGTGCTTACCGGCGACATAATACCAAAGTCGACTCAAAACCGATGACGATGGTAGTCACTGGCATTAAGCAAAACGAGAATTTGTAACCGGTAAAGAAATCGCGTGCATGTGCTAAAATGATTAGAGAACAATGTTGGAAATAGTCGTCGATAGCTGATATCCGTTACCGCCTTCTTCGTAGTACAGTAGAGATTTAACAACGTGTCCTATATACATATATATATATATATATATATATATAGAGAGAAATGATAAGTACAAATGCATATAACTTTTGCTACTTCTATTACTACTGGAAGAGCACGGTGAAGGGTAAAAGTTAGCAGAAAGTCTACGTTGGCCCTTAACAGGGTATACACCTATAGAGCTAAGACAGACGCTAAGACAGAAGACTAAAAATCTGTTAATTGCATAATGTCTACAGGGGTTTTGCTAAACCCGCTCACTGATCTGAACTGTCAAAGAAATTTACATTGATCATAATAGAAAAATTAGAGTAAATGACGAAACAGATATTGATTGAGCCAGGACCTTTATTTTACGGGAAAAATTAGTCTATGCGAGCCGCACTTCGTCTGCGTACAACAATTGTACGAAATAAACGTAGATATAAGCAACTGTAACAGAAAGAACTACGTATACGTTTATTATATATACACGAACTTTTGTTGTTTCTGATATAGATTCTACAGTCTGATTAGGTGTAAATACCGACGGCAAACGATAAAAATAGTATAAAAATGGTGGCAGTTTTCCAAACCGCCGAAGTTTCAATTTGAACATGTTTGTAAACTTTTCGAACAGTAGTAAGGACAAGGCAGACATATTGATACGTGGGTAAAACCTTTAATTTTGGTAATTGTTTTCAGGTAGCGTTTAAATAAATCTCTTATTATTAATGTATTTATTATTAATTTAATAATTATTCTATAATTTATCTAAGTTTTTAATTTGGCAACGATTGCTTGCTTACAATAGGCCAAAGGGAGTTGTAAATCGATCGATCGATCGATGAAGTCTGAAAATGTTTCTTTTTTTGTGATGGATACATACAAATACGGAGGGGGTTTTCAACGACCGATGCTTATCAGTGCTTACCTGTTGTCATGACACTACCTATCGAAGAAGTCAGCGACGTATGGCCATGATTTGCGATCGCATCTCATATAGCACTATTAACTGCTGCTTTGGAATGATAGGAAAGATTAGAATATCTGATAAAATCATATCACGTTAAATTTATTATTTACAATACCAATCGAGGGTCGATTTCTGACAATGTTCTTCAATGGCAGCTATAACGGTAACAACACAAACGGCGTTTGTTAAACACGAAATGTTTGATAGGATTTGTACATTTTAAATCAATGCTTTTAAAAACTCGTGTATATATATATGTGTGTGTGTGTGTGTGTGAGTGTGTGAAATCAAGTGATGATATAATAATGAATTAAAACACTAAGCTTTATTATAATAAGGCCAATAAGGATACTAGCTAATCTAAACACGTCCTTATGACCTTCAATCAAAGATGACAATAAATACAGTTCGGTTGACATATTTTTCGAACCACACTAAAAGTGAAAGCGTATTACATGTGCTTAATATTGGACTTCTATATGCTCCTACCGTTAAATTGGAGGAAGCGTCAGACAAATTGTTAGGACATTTCAGAATCTCTTCTACACTCTCACAGATGACTATCAGTCTAGAGACCTGCAAATATTCTCAATTTTTTGTCCACCCAGAATCTGATCATTTCGCTTCAGGCAGCCGTATATCTTTTATCTGTCGAACGATTTGTTGCATAGCAGACCTGATTCATTCTGATCATAATTGAGCTTCCCTATAGCTTAACTCTAGATAAACCAGGAGTGTTTTTCTTTTTCATATTAACGAATTAACGGTGAGTATTTCGTCTAAAAGTAAAGGGCCGATTTAGCCCCTTTTTCTTTACACCCCATGCAAGGTGTCGACGCGATTGAAAGCATCGAGATTGCAATACTCAATGATGAGCAGGAGTATAATGTGTGAACTGTCAGACGAAGTTCCAATAGTAACTCGTAATCCAGATCGGCTGGGCAACTTTGTGTCTGTCGCCGTCAGTCAGAAGCCATGTTACAAGAGCTCCAACATTGTGTAGTAAAAATGAAGTGAATAGTTGGTCCATATATACGTTCATGCATCTGGACTGTTTATCACACGGTATATTTTTGAGAACAAACAGAAAGGGTTATCGCTTTAAAAAGATATAGACTCTTGAGTAATTTTCTTTGAAGATTGTTCTTTTACCGTTCATTCTTATGAAAGTATCCGTGCGACTAGGCCTAACTTGCTACGCTTGAAATCGAGAAAATCGATTTTTTTTTTTATGTGAAGAATAAATAAAAAGGTTACCTACTAATCTTTGTTAGAGCTACTGGATCTGAAGTTTTGAATTTGTCAGCTGAGGCGCGCGCAAACGATTAGCTACGTGTCGATTTCCATTGACCCCTTTACCCATTGTAGTACACGACGTATATTGCAGTGAAAAGGACAAAAACCTTAAGGCGTTAAAAACAATAATTAAGCCATTTGACGAAGTCACAGCGCCGGACACACGATAATGTTTCCACCACATGAACAGTGTTTTGTTATTCAGTGTTTTTAGATAATATTGATGGATTAACGAAAAAATTGATCCCTTCAATATTCACAAGACAAAAGGACCGTAGGATGCACGCAGATTATAGGACACTGTGAGTAACGATAAGGACGCTCGAAAATTACAACTCGATACAAGCCACACTCTTTTAATCATAAGTCATACGACCCTAAAATTTCGAGGTCTCCTTATTTTTACGCTTCGTTAAGCATACTATACTTATCCAAAGTTTAATAAATCTGATCACTTCTCTACTGCAAACATCTCGCGTCATTTTTATAAGTCCTATTTCTGTCACAACGTCCGTTCTGTCCTATCGAATGTCAAAGGGGCCTGTTTCTTCGCTACCATTGATCAAATCTTGTTTATCTTAAATAGCGGAAGCTTTTATAAAGAAAGCTTGCGCTATATTTGGTGCAATAACTTTCCAAAGTTATTAAATTAACGTTCCGAACCTTAATGCTAGAATCGATATGCTTTAGAGGTAAAACGTTTGAATTTCGTAGTCTATCCTAGACAGAAATGTAGTGTTTTGGAAAGTAAATGGTTTACTTTTTACCTTACCTGCAAAATAATTGTTTATGCCTAAA